GATTTTCTCATGAAAAGAAGTCAACCTTTTAGTGGCGTCGTTCTTGACTTTCTCATGAAGAGACGTCAACCTTTAGTGATGTTATTCTTGACTTTCTCATAAAGAGAATTCAACCTTTTAGTGGTGTTATTTTTAACTTTCTCGTGAAGAGAAATCAACCTTTTAGTGTGGGTGTTCTTGACTTTCTCGTCAAGAGAATTCAACCTTTTTGTGATGCTATTCTTGATTTTCTCACGAAGAAGAATCAACCTTTTAGTGGTGTTTTTCTTACTTTCTTGTGAAGATAAGTCAACCTTTTAGTGATGTTATTCTTGAGTTTCTCATGAAGAGAAGTCAACATTTTAGTGGTGTTATTCTTGACTTTTTCATGAAGAGAATTCAATCTTTTAGTGTAGTTTTTCTTTTAGTGTGGTTTTTCTTAAATTTCTCGTGAATGAGTAACCTTTCAATAGTATCCTTCCTCAACTTGACTTTTTCGTATAGAGAAGTTAATCTGTCTGTAATGGTGTCTTCAATCCTGACTCTCTTAGGACTTGTGTCCTAGAAAGTTCAGTTTAGTCTTCCTAAAAATTATTCCCCAAAGAACTTTCTCCTTGAGGTTTTTAGGCTCGATTCTTTAAAAACCCCACTTTAGTCTTTCTTGAGATCGTTTCCCTAAAAATCTTAACCTTGTCTTCCATAAGACTCTAGAAATTAACTTTGTCTATTTTGGGTTGTTTCTGTGAAAGTTCCAATTTTGACTTTCTTGAAGACCTTTTTACTTTCTCAAAAGATTAATGATAAATGAATTACATCATTGTATTCATTATTCAAATACGTTGCTCTTTCAAGATGAATATTTTATAGGTTTTTCAAGAAAACTAAAGATTTATGACAAGAAGAAGTCATCAACCAATTCGAAGTCCTAAGAAGGAAGAGGTTCAAATGGCACTCGAGTCAAGGTAGATTCCCATATCTAATGGATGCAAGACAAGTTTCCACAAGAGAAAATGATTTTCAAAGATTCTCCAAATTCTAAACCTTTGGGTATTATGTTTTCAAATTATCAAACATATATTGATGATTGGTAATGTTTGATTTTTAGGTTCGATCTTCGTAAATACAAGAAAAACAAATCGATCCCGGTTCAGTTCCTCCCAAAGAGTGGTGGAGTGAATCAAATTCCTTTAAAAAATTTGGTTTTCCCTAAAGAATAGTGGAGCATATTCTTCTTCTTTCAAGTTTGATCTTCCTGAAGAGCAGTGAAGCAAATTTGAAGCAAATCAACTTCGATTCAACCTTTCCTGAAGAGCAGCAAAGTGAATCAAATCTTTCAAATATGATTACCCAGAAAATGTACCAGATCAATTTCGACCTACCTTGAAGTTGCAGTGGAGCAGATAATCTTTCAATTTCCTCATAACCGAAAAAATATGACCATCTTTTGATCTTTGCTCTATTCTCATCGCACGACAATGAGCAAAGAGGGGCAACTGTAGATGTTTGTTTTGTCCGAGGGTTTCATTCGAATTTTCGCTTGTGTTTATATATATTATTAATTATCTTATATATTAGGTTAATTATTTAAATAGTAATATATATTATTATTATACAAATATATATATATATATATATATATATATATATAAGTTGAAATTTAAATTTAATATTTTGAAGGCCCAGATTATAAAATAGTTACAGCCGACCCGAGATAAAACCCAAAATAACTAGGGTTTTGTAGTAATCTCCTAGCTGACTGGTCTCTTATCCATTGGATCAGATGGCATCCAATGGTCCAAATCAAAGGATCATTAGGGTTTCATAACCCTTCAGTGTCGCCTCTCGTGGGAATCGTCAGATCTGGACCATTTAACAGTCCAAATCTAGAATAATGTTTAGGGTGCTCAAACCCTAGTCACCGCTGTCGCTTGTAGATATCGATCGTTAGATCTGTACCCTTTCCAACAGTCCAGATCAAGGTATCACTTAAGTGTCGCCCATGAACCACCAGTTCCATGGATCTGTCGCATCCGCTAGACTTTACGTAGGTCATCGAAAGAAAATAAAAGAACTTCAGGGTGACTTTTTTACCCCCTGTGTAACCCACATCATCACTTTCTAGGACAAGGCTTTGTCCTCGTTGAACCACTATCCTCGATCAGCACCCCTAGCACAAAAATAGCTAAACAACAAAGGGTCAAACCCTTACCAGAAGCATGCAACCCAAATAACATAAAAGAATAGGAGAGTAATCAACATGAGAGTATGGATTTTCAGAGAGAGAGAGAGAGAGAGAGAGAGAGAGAGAAAAGAGGAAAAACTCAGAATGTATTTTGAAAAAAAGGAGAAAAATAAAGAGAGAAAGGAGGAGAAGCTTACCTCGCCGTCACCAGAGTCTTCAAGCGTCATCGGAGAGCTGTGTCCTTCGAAGGTAAACTCTTAGATATAGGGAGTTTCATGGGTTTTTGGGCTTAAATAGTTTCGAAAATGGGTTTAGGAGATAGGGGTTGTTTTGGGGTAAGTTACTCGAACTCTGGCCGCTGTGGGTTGCAGCGGAGTGCTCCAGCAAGCGATAGCCCGAGGCTGTTAGCTTCCCCGGCGAGGAGTAGAAATGAGAGAGTGCAGAGAAACTCTATCTTTCCCATTTTGAAGAGAGAAAATGAGTTTGAAGAAATGAGAAAGTTTTGCCATTTTTGGTCATAGGTCAGGTTTATATACCCGATCCTAAATGATGTCGTTCTGGGAAAGGGGGTTGTGCGTTTTGGGCACATGGGAGAATTATTCCCGCATCCCTCGTATCTTGTAATATTATACTTTAGTCACTGTAATGAATTTTTACTTGTTTTAGATTGTATCGCAAGTTTCACTCCGTTTCTATTTTAGTCACTGACTACATTTATACATGTTTTAGGTAAACGTTTGATTCAATCCTTAAATTTTAATGATTTCTATTTTAGTCCTGAATGTTGATGACGGTTTTACTATGATTCTAGTGCCTAGTTTGTGTGATATTTTTGTTTATGGCTATGATCTTTGTTTGTTTTACTGTTTAATCCTTAAAGTTACTATCTTTTCACTCCGATTATTCATTCACACATTTTATTAATTTCCTATTAATTGCATTTAAGTTTCTTGTATTTATGGTATTTTGTTTAAGCCCTCGTTGGTTTCCCTTTATTGTAAATGCATATTGTATTGGGATAATATGTTGTACAAGGAATTTATGGAAGTGTACCTTAACTAACAATGAGTTCGTTTTCAAGAATTGTTCGTAAAAAAATATTTTTTTTACATCTCAATGATTTTTTAATATATTTATTCAATGTTTGTAATTCATTAAAAATTAGAGCAATATTATCGTGTATGGAGAATCTATGGAAATGCCCCTTAACTGACAAGAAATGTATTTTCGAGAATTATTCTTACAAGATAATACCCCTTTTAATTTATATAAAAAAAAGATCATTTTTAAATGTATATTCAAATTTTCCAATTTCAATATTCATATAATGTATAATCACTTAGGTACCGATTTTAGGCGTTGTGGGATGCTAATCCTTCCCCACGTGTAATCGACTCCTGAACCCTTTTCAAAACGAATTTATGGTTAAACGCATATCACTTTTTATCTTTTATAACCATTTTCCTTAAAATTATTTTAAAATATATTTTTTAGGTATTCGACCTACTAACTCAAAGGTCGATGACTATTCCAAAATTTATTTATTTATGTTTAAAACCCAATCGTTTCCAAAATTAAGTTAGATCGCAGCGCACAAAAAGCTTAAATACGGTTTCAACAGAATCTTTTTACTAAATTGGTGTTTAGCCACCGACCTGTCTTTTCTATTTGTCTTCTACAAAGAGTTCTGTTATACAAAAAGTTCTGTTTTATGTGTATTTACAGCCTTCAGTCTTTGTGTTGCAGTATGTATAAGATTATCGAATAGATCTTTTTTCCCGTTATTGGATTTTGATCGATTATTAAACTAGTTATGTTGTTTGGAAGAGTACTACAATTAAGAAACGCTTTTAAGTGCGGTAGTCATTGGCATCCATCAGTGATATCATATGATATTGACTGCTGTGCAGGTGCCCTGGCATTTGATACCGAGTATGCACGGTGGCTAGAGGAACACAATAGGCACATAAGTGAGCTGAGGGCTGCTGTCAATTCGCACGCTGGTGACACTGAACTTAGCACTATTGTCGACAGCGTCACAGCGCACTTTGAAGATATTTTCCGTTTGAAAGGCATCGCTGCAAAAGCTGATGTTTTCATATCTTATCGGATTTCTCGAACTCCTTCTGGCATCCCCATTCGCTTCACTCCTGAACGAACTTATAGGAACCGCTGGAATGGTGCCATTGACCCCATAAGGCATCAGAGTTTGCACGTTGTGAGTGTCCGGGTAACTGGCATACGGATAGAATGGCGCAAAACCAGACTGGAAAGGACCACCGGGAGGCGAGCACATAAAAGGCGGGGCAGCTTGGGGATGCGGAAACGAAGGGAAACTCGGCGCCGGAGGGAATATGGGAGCCAAACATCGTAGTGGCTTAACATTCAAAATCCTAGATTTATCTATATATTCTTCCCCACCGCCGTCTTCCATTTCATATAAATAGAATTGCAAAAGACTGTTTCTCTACGATTTGAAGAACTGTTAAGCTAATTAAGCAACCCGAATCTAAACAAAGGAAAGCCCAGCAGATAAAAAAAACAGAGAAATCACATCCAATTCAAAGCAAAACCCTAGAATTTTTCTACCCCACCACCACCTCCCAATTTCATACAAGCGATTTGGAGCAATTTCAAACTGATTAACTGATTAAGCTACTCTAAATAGAATAAAGGCAACGCTAATATATTAAAAATGAGAACTTTCCCTCCAATTCGAAGCAAGAGGCATTGATCAGTGGCGAGTTCCAATTAGGAATCTAAACCAAAGATTTAAGTGAAACCCATTACATAAAAAACACCAACGATCAGCTTTGACTGATTAGATTTAAAGACTGTTTCAGAAATTTGCAGAAAAATCCCTGAAGATATGAACAAACAAAGTGCGAACAAAAGCAAAGCACTCATCTTTCTCTGTTTTGGTAATTAAAAAAAAAATTCTCTTAATGCGTTTCATAATTTAAAGGATAAATTATGCCTTTAGTACCTAAGATATCAGTTTTGATCCATTTTAGTATATAAACTTTTCATTTTTTTTCAAAATCATACATAAAGTTTAGTTTTTTTTTCATTTTAGCACTCCACGTTAAAAATTTTAATTTTGTTTCATTTTAGTACCCGTTCAAAATTCAACATTAAGTTTTGAAAGAATTGAAAGTCTGTGTACTAAAATATATCAAAATTGATAGTTTAAGTACTAATTGTGTTAAGTTTTTAACGACAGGTACTGAAATGAAATGAAAATTAAACGTTAGATATGGTTTTGGTTTTAAAAAATTAAAAATTTAGATACTAAAACAGATCAAAAGTTAAAATTTATGTACTAAATGTGTAGTTTATCCAATTAAAAATTGGGTAAACTAAGCTATATCACTGAACTTTATGTGGTGTATCGTTTATATTACTAAACTTTATATTGTTTAAATTATAACACTAAACTTTGATTTTAACTTTAATTTTGATTTTAAGTATATCACGGGGTTAAATTTTAACGGTACGATGATGTAGACATATCCTTTCGTCATTGTGATGATGTGGAAAAAATGATATCGTTTTAATGTGGTTATTGATACCTAAAACGACGTAATTTTAAGCACCAATCTTTAAGGATGTATCTATTTCACATGCAAACTTTAAAAAAAATCTAGTTTTAGACACTGAACTTTCTCATTTGTCACGAACAACTAATCATCTCTTGTCATTGATCGTCATTCGTGACAATATTGATATCAAAATATTCATTGAAACCCTCCATCCTTCCCATGAACCTCCTTTGATTTCCATTAATCCATTTAACGGTATTTATTGGTGCGACGGTTGCCGCGGCTCGTACGATGTTTCGTACGCTTATTTCGATTATAGAACGTTCTTCCATAAAAAATTTCTTGAACTACCCTCTACAACCGATCACCCTTGCCACCATATGCACCAGCTTTCGATTGTTTTCGATGATTCCGATGAAGAGTTACCTGAATGCAACCTGTGCCGATGTATTATTCGATTTGGATTTTATTATCGTTGTGTCCGTTGCAAGTTTTTTATGCACCTCAGATGTGCTCGGCCACCACCCACAAGTTTTTTATGCACCTCAGATGTGCTCGGCCACCACCCATTATTGAGGATAAAGCTCATCACGATCACCCTTTCACTTTGTCGTTAAGACCAAACAATCCCTTCTTTTGTGATGCATGTGGCAACAGGGGAGATAATGTTTCCTAAACTTTAATTAATTAATTAATTAAACTAAAAATATTACCTAATCCGTCCAAATATATAATACACAACATTGACATATAATTATAGACACTTGAAACCAATCTGAATAATTAAATCTAAAATCTGACTGTCAAGTAAATACTTGAATTAAATACGATACAATCAAACCAAATCAAATTAACACAACATACAACTCCGACATAGGATAACGATCACTTAAAACCAATCCTTTTCAAGCACTTTAAGTGTATATGTGGCGGTGAGAAGTATAATGTGGCCTAGAATTCCTTCATAACCACGTGAGCCGCCTTATCCGGCAACAATCATGAAGACAGAGCAAAAGTAAAGTTGATATTAAAACAATATTCAAGATAATAATAATAGCAACAACGATGTCCGTGATTGAAAAAACAAAAAACAAGAGGAGCTCATAACATACCTACAATCGACGTGAACGATATAATCACATTTGGTACACTTGACAACTTCATCTTGGCAAGGTTTACCACATATCGAGCAATAAGAATAGCCGTCAACAACCTTGCCTATATAATTGACATGGAAATGACCCTGGCCGTGAAACTTTGAAAAAATGGTACCATCTTTGAGAAACGGATATCCTCCGAGAGCACATCTGGAATGAACAGAATTATCGCAAGTTGAACAAGAATAATACAAACGGTATGCATCTCTCTTCTTTTCACAAACATCACAACGAAACTGTTCTGGATCATCTTCCCCATCTTCATAACTCAATTTCAGTATGTGGCGATCACATTTGTGTCTAACTTCAAGCGGTAATGTGATGCATGCGAAGTCTAAACTAAAACTGCACTCCTTATATCTGAATGCTCCAAAATTCTTATGATTGTGACCACAACCGTTGCATTTCCCTTCGCATTTTCGATCAAGAAAGAGCACGTGTTGGTGCCCTTCATTCTTGATGGTATAAGGAACTGCGGCACACCTTAGGCAAAACTTATTGCTTCCAACACCAAAATAAAACAAACCACTGCACAAGCGATCACACAAGCTACGCAGTCTCCAATTACGGGCTTCAAGGGTGATGGCGGGTAGTTGAAACCAGTGATGTTTGATTTTGGGTAGCTCAGCACAGGTTTTGTGAAGGAAGAAATTGCACCTCGAACAATAATAAAACGGGATCGAGATAGGCAACATGCACCCGTCGCAAGCTCTATCATCGTCCCCTTTGATCTTGTCTCCTAAAACCAAATCGTGCTCATGGTCGAAATGATGTACCTTCATAGCTTCGCCAAGCTCATTCACCTTGATAACACGGATGCTGGAAGAAGAATCCGAAGCATCATCCCTATCTCCATTTTCTTGATCAATTATGGTGTACAAGGAATCATACTCCAACACACATTTCACGTGAACCACAAATTGCAACCTTCCTTCGAACAACCGAAACATCCATACTCCATTTTCACGCGCTCGAAACAAATTTGGCAATCGCCAGATTCTCCTTTTTCAAGGAAATACTAGTGGAGAAGAACATCATCATGTCGAGCATCTTTGATCTTCCGCCGCAACGAAGTGCAACTTTTATGGACTTGAAGGTGGCATGTAAGACATACATAGGAAACAAACTTAGCAACGAAGCCACATGCATCACAAACGAAGGAATCATTTCTAGAAAGCAAGGTTAATTGGTGTTCATGATTCCTGTTAGCTTCAATAATAGGTCTGGGTCGAATGCATTCAAGGTGAATATCAAACTTGCAAGCCAAACAACGATACAAAAGATTATCACTATCATTCTTTTGGCAGACTTCACAAAAGAAATTGTTTTCCCTAAAGTGAAGAAAGAGAGTGTGCAAACGGTGGCCAGGGTGAGCAGTTTCTGTGGGTAAGTTATGAAAACATTTTGGATGAAGTTTAATCTTACAACCAACAGAAACATAAATGGGACCCATTAAGGATTCTAGACACCATGAGCAACAGGCTGTTTTGAGTTCGTCTTTATGGTTTTGGAGGAAGAAGGGAAGCTGGTGGCCATCATCTTTGAACTCATACTTTGACTTGTTTTCTCTTTCAATCAAATTACAAGAAGGCACAGCACATTTGGTGCAGAGACAAAACTCATCACCATAATCGATACAAGAATAAAAACGAAACTTGCATGTTTCCTTGCACATCGCACAAGCTTTCCCTCCATTCGGCAGCTCTGGTGGTGGTTTAAGCCAAAGATAAGAGTGTTGGGGATGCAAAGGGTGTTGGATAATCAAACTGGATATTTGGGCACATTCCGGATGGAGGTGAAAGTTGCAGCATACACAACTAAAGGTTGAGGCTGATATGATCACTTCCCCGCACACCGAGCAAAGAGCTTTCTCATTCTCATTGCCTTCAACCAACACCAAGGGATGATCATGAAAATCGTGACGTTCAATCTGCTCTCCCTTGTCCATTGACGTTTTCGAGAAGTGAATGTGATTTAGACGATGAATGAATCAGGGAACAAAAGAAAGCACGAAAGAAATAAAGAGTTCTGGTTTTGTTGATGAATTGAATCTTCATCATCGTTGCCAAATATAAAGACTCGTTTATGCTTTCCTTTTCCTGCTTATGCACTTCATTCTTTTCCCGATTAAATCAGTCAAGTATAACCTTGGAATAAATGCTTTAGAATTTAAATTTTTGGAATACAAGCAAAGAATTTTACTTTAATGGCCATCCTTTTTCTTTTGTCTAAAGCACTTGGGCCGTGAAATCATTAAATACAAATTTAATATATATATATATATATATTGTAAATACGACAATTCTTACGATAATTTACTTGTATTTCTCCATTAGTGTGACATAATACTATACGTTATCAAATAATTTAAATTAAAAAAAATATTATTATAAAAGAGTGTAAGGTGATGTAAATTGACATGTGATTAAAAATAATCAAACAACAATAAATACATATGCATTGATTAATAGGCTATCACATCCATTTTGTGAAAACAAATTATTAATTTATTTAATATTTACGTTAGATGTACATCAATTTAACAAAAAGAAGAATAAATATTTACTTTGAGGGTTAAATTTAGGGTAAATTACATAAACATATACTAAAATATTAGTATTTTTTAAGGTACTAAAGTTCAAAAAATAATAAACGATCACTAATGTTATTATTTTGTAACAAAGTCGATCACTCCACTACTAATAACTGTTATTCTAACAATAAAAAGTTAATATAACATATTAGACTTATACTGATTACTTAATCTTTGACTCGTTTAATGATAAAAAGAATTATAGAGAACAAATGAAAGGTATCACGGAATATGAGTTGTTTCCTGAATTCAAAAGGAAGTTGTTTGCTTGTCGAGGAAATTGAATTGAATAAACACTTACTTGTACATTTCTTTTTCTGCTATGCACTTCATTCTTTTACCGAGTAATTAGGCAAAGTATAACCATAGATGCTTTAGAATGTAAATTCTTTGGAAAGAATTTTTACGTTAATGGTCTTTCTTTTTCTTTTCTCTAAAGCATTTAGACCGTTAAATCATTAAATCTAAACTTAAGTTTTGATTTTCTTTTGTAAATATGACAACTCGTTGACAATTTAAATGTATTTTTCCTACCAATAGGATTGGTTTAAGTGGTAAGCAGTTTGATATCGCTTAAGTAATGTCTTAAATTCGAGTCTTTGTGTATGGAGAAAATCTCGGCTAGGAGACTCACCCACGAAAATAAGGTGTGTGACCCGGATCGATCCAAATCAATTAAGGTGAAGCCTTGAAAATGTGAAGGGCAACAAAAAAAAAAGTATTTTTCCATTAGTGTGACATAATACTATACGTCATCAAATAATTTAAACTATAAAAATATATTATTATAAAATAGTATAAGGTGATGTAAACTCACACTCCTAAAAAGGGTAAATTACACCATCCATTATTTAAATTTACTTTCTCTCATATTTCAATCATTGTACTTTCAATTTTTTTAATTTACACACTAAACTTTCGAATTGCTTATGTTTTGGTCACTACAAATTATCTTTTTTATTATTATTCAATGACTTTGCATATTAAATATAAAAATAATTTAAAATAAATAATATTTTCTTATTATTATTAAATTTAAAATGATTAAAATAATCATTATTCCTTCTCGTTACAGTCGATCACCATTTAGGTTTAATTTTGTATTTAATTTATTTTTATGTAAAATAATAATAATAATAATAAATGTCATGTATCTAGATAATAATAAAATAATTCAGAGTGACCAAAATAGGAACAATTCGAAGTTCATTGAGTAAATTGAAAAAATTAAAAATGTAATAAATAAAATAGGAGAGATAATAAAGTTCATTGATGAATGATGTAGTTTATCCTAATAAAAATAATCAAACAACAACGAAGTACATATGCATTGATTTGTAGGCTATCACACCAATATTTATTGAATATTTACGTGAGGTGTATATCAATGTAACAAAAAGAAGAAGAAAGGTTTACTTTCTTTAAGGGTTAATAATTATTATACCAATAAAGAAAGGTTGATATTATTATTTAACAAAAAGTAGCAAAATGATTATTAATATTATTATTTCATAATAAATCAATCATCGACCGTTAATAACTATTATACAAATAAAAAAGGATTGATATGACACATTAGAAAAAATATCATAAAAAATGAGTAGGTTTGTAAACGAACTGAATGTTCAGTGAACTATTCGACGGGAAATTCGTTTATTTATTAAACGAACGAACATGAATAAGATTTTATGTTCGTTTAATTAAATGAACGAATATGAACATATGTCTCATTCATTCATTCATTTATGTTGAACGTTTGATAATATGTTCATTTATTTTTGTTCATATATGTTCGTTCGTTTATATGCGTTCATTTATGTTTAGTCCAATCTCTCTAAACCCATTTAAAATATTAAAACCAATAAATTTTAATCTGATACCTATAAATATAAAAATAATTTAAAATAAATAATATATTATTATTATTTATTAAATTTAAAATGATTTAAAATAATCATCGTCCCTTCTCGTTATTGTCAATCACCATTTAGGTTTAGTTTTATATTTAAATTATTTTTATATTAAATAATAATAATAATAATAATAATAATAATAATAATAATAATAATAATAAATTTCATGTATCAAGATAATAATAAAATAATTCAGAGTGGCCAAAATATGAATAATTCGAAGTTTATTGAGTAAATTAAAAAAATTGAAAGTGTAATGAATAAAATAAGAGAAATAATAAAGTTCAGTTATTAATGATGTAGTTTATCCTAATAAAAACAATCAAACAACAACGAAGTACATATGCATTGATTTGTAGTCATGGACCGTTAATAACTTTTTACTCATTTACTAGAAAAAGTATCATAAATAATGAGTAGGCATGTAAACGAATCAAACTTTTAGCGAATTGTTCAGTTGGAAGTTCGTTTATTTATTAAATGAACGAATATGAATAAGATTTTGTGTTCATTTAATTAAATAAAAGACCATGACTCTTTCGTTCATTTACGTTTGTGAACGTTCAGTAATATGTTCGTTTATGTTCATTTATGTGCGTTCATTTATGTTTAACCCAATCTCTCTAGACTCATTTAAAATATTAAAACCCAATAAATTTTAATCTGATACCTATAAATTTTTAAAAATTCAATTAATTTTAAATACAAGTAAAAAAAGCTCAAAACAATTAAATAAAATATAATCTTAAAATTTTTAGGAAAGAAAAAAAATTATTTTCATTTATGTTCGTATATGTTCATTTATTGTGTTCGTTTATGTCCGTTCGTTTGTGTTCGTTCACGTTCGTGTACATCCGTCCGTTTATGTTCGTTTATTTGTGTTCATTTATCATTTAAATGAACGAGCATGAACGAATACGAACAAGCTACATTCTTTAACGAACGAACATGGACAAGAAATTTTTTGTTCGTGTTCGTTCATTTGTTCGGTTAAAGTTAAACGAACGAACATAAACATACTCTCGTTCGTATTCATTCGGTTCGTTTACATGTCTAAAAATGAGAGAGATCACATAATATGTTGCTTCCTGAATCTAAGGAAGTTGTTTACCTGTCGAGAAAGTTTGTTTTAGGGGTAAATTTAAGAAAGTTACAACAAACGGGAATGATGTTTTTATTCAAGAAACTCAAAATGAGTTCCTTCCTAAATCATGCAAGGTTTAAAGGCAATACCTCTCTCCAATAAAAGATACAAAATGATCACTTGATTATTCATTATGTTACAAACTCATCATTTTCTGTTAAAAATTTGACGACAATCTGAATTGTATGTTAATCTACTGTTACTATAGAAAATTGAGATTCTAAGATCAGATTTTATCATATCTCAGACAACAAATTAACACCAATCTTAGATTATCGTCAATTTTTTTAACGAAAAATGATAAATTTGGAATATAATGAATAATCGAGTGACTATTTTATAACTTTTAACAGTCGGATAACTCAATAGAATACCATCCTATAGTCGTAGGATCATTTTATAACTTTTGATAATCAATGGAGTTAACAAAACTACATCCTATAGTTGAGGGATCATTTATGTATTTTACCCTCAAAATTAAAAGTGATCAAATTAGAAAATAAGACCTCACAGCACGAGGACTAACAACAGAGTTTCACTTGATAGAATCAAATATTGTCATTTGAATCATGACCAAAATTTAAAAATTGAAACACTAATAGGATAAAAATTTGACCAACACGTCTATCCAAGCTCTTCTCCAAAGCAGGATTTCCCCTTTCATGCTTCTGATCAGTTATATCCATGCCTCTATTATTAACGTTTCCACCTTGGCCACTATAAACCAACACGTCGCCATCCTCGGAATTATCTTCGTACCCTCCGGAAGAGACAATGCTGACTGCTACAGGATCTTCACCTTGAGAGACCTTGAGCCTCATGTAATCAATGCCAGCCATAACTGGAGCATGCAATCCAATCAAACACATCTCCATCCTGAAAAAGAACATATCTCCAATCTCCACACCAATTATCTTCTTCACATTAGTCCGAATCCCTTTGTTCATTAGGATCGTTCCCGCTCTTAAGTCGGGTTGTCTCGTTGCTCCCGGAGCAGATTCCTTCGCGACCTCAATCTGAGAAATTTTTCTTTGGAGCCCATCGTAGATCAACCTTATATATCCTACTGCTTCCGTGTCACCACCGACTCGCCTGAACGTATCGAAATCCAAGAGATTAAACGACTCGACAATTTTATCGACAACACCATCTATATATTCGCATCAGAGGACGCAATATTGACATCCTGGCTGCCGCCAACACTCTTTTTCCTTTTGGGGGCAGCCTTGCTTGAATCTTCAACATCAACTACATGAACCCCGTCACTGTAACCATCCTCTTCGTGTTCCGACAAACCC